AAACAACTTGCTCATTTTGTATACTAAGAGGGTATATAGCTGTATAGAGTTGTTCCAACAATTGCCTATAACTATAAATAATTTCATAATAGAATTCACTTAAGATGCAGCTAATAAACCAAAACAATGTTCAACTACCATATGATACTAATATGGCATATAACTATACCAACATGGTATACAGTTTTACTAGTTAATTCCCAACAACTATATGACTATACTACCATTACATAATACACATGCATAAAGAGAAAAATAAAAAAATAGTGTACCACATATTAATATAATAAAGTATTTCAAGATATTGTACTATATTACTATTATTAAAAGAAAATCAAATATTGTACCAATTACATGCAGCTAATACAACCAAAAATGATTCAACTAGCATATGATACCAATATAGTATATAGTTATACTAATAGGGTATATAGTTGGAATGAATTGTATATTAAAATGGTATATTTGTATACTATTTGAGTATACAAATTCGTCTTCTCTGGTTCAACTATATTTCAACCCAAATTTCTAAAATCTACTACAAAATCTCCACCAAATTGACTAAAACTTTAGCTACAACCTCCAATCAACTTTCCAAACAAACCCATACAGGATCGGATTAAAATAACTAAAAACTCAAACAAACCAAGTTATGAGTTTCAAGCTTCAAGGTCCTTCAATGGTGAATTTAAATTTTTGTACAATAAATCTCCAAAAACCAACATCAAAGGTACAATCTACATATCAAAGAACAATAACTAACGAATCTACACAACTGTGGATGAAAAATGGTTGCCATAGAAAGATTTCATCAACAGTGAGTACTTGGGTTCATAAGGAAAAAAAGGAGGATTGTTGTTTTTTGGAGAGATATTTGAAGTTCTAAAGAATTTGCCAAGATCAGTGTGGATTATTCTAATGGTCACAGGTGTGAACCGGATTGTTTGGTTTCCATTCACCTAATGGTCACAGGCTTCTGTACAATAAATTTTGAATTTCTGAAAACAAAATCTGTCATAAAATTTCAAAAAAAAGCAATTTTCTAATGCATAAACTGGATGATAGAAGAAAGAAAGATGGTTGGCAAGGAAAAAATCAGATAAATAGTTTGGGCCCCATGGGTAGGAGTAGTAAATAATTTGGGACGGGACATTAAAGGGTAAATAGTTTAGAATTAATGGATATAAAGTGAGATTTTCTCAATTTTTTTTACACTATCATTTTTTACTTATCGTAATTAAATAAAAAATAAGATGATAATATTGTGGCCAAAGTATATGTAAAGATACGTATTATGTATTCAAAATGTATTATTTCTAGTTGGATTTTAATTTCTAGATATGTTTATCTATCTATATGAAAGGGTTTTTTATTTGTACAAATGGTAATTCAAGTTTGGAACTAGCATAAAGATATTACTAACACACAAAAAAGAACTATACATAATTATATATAGTAAAATTTAATAACTTGGATAATTATTTTTAACATCGTGGAAAGAGTTCCGCAATAATTAATCCATTGTTATATATTGTATGGAAAACGATTCTGATTTTGCCTTTTTTTTTTTTTTTAATTCTAGTTGATGTCCACCACTACCATACGCAACAATATTCGATAGCGAAGATTTAAATATTGCAATTTGTGAAGTAAATTAATTTTGTACTCGGTTACAAAAGTTATTTTTGTCGCGAGACAAAAATATTTGTAGGATTATTTTTTAAATTCAAATAATAAGTGGGCATAGAAGATTATTTCCTCGGATGTGTATGAGAGTTTGTCTTAAATGTTGTTCAAAATTGTTGATAGATTTAATTACGGCAAACGGAAAATCAATGTATCATCTGCGTCACTAGTCATAAATTATTCTAGCATCTCTTCGTTTTAACATATTCATACCATATATTATGAAATTAGTTCATTTTCATTGGTTCCCATGCCTTTGTCCAATGTCATTAACATTATTTCATGAGTTTAAGTCTATGTATTAATAATTTAAAAAATATTTATATAATTAGATTACTTAAATAATCTAGTAAAGAAGAGTCTAACATGATACCACAAATTAAGCTATACTAACAGTATAGAATTATTATACCCTGAAAGTCCATATAAATTAAATGTTCGATGTTACGTTTGCGTTTCAATAATTACCGATTACCATTGCTTTCACTGACATAAGCGGTTTGATTAAGTCTTATTAACAATATCATTTATTTAAACAATGCATTGTCATACTTCTCTCAACAAGATTAGAAGACTACAAACTTTGTATGACCCTTAGGTACGTCTTCCTTCAAGAGATGAAATAAGAACCCAGTCGAAAACTCGATCATTAAAAAAAAGGCAGCTTGATGCACAAAATATCCTTTATTTATGTAGGGTTAGAGGAAAGATCACATAATTAGGGATGTAATGTAGACAATCTACCCTAATACAAACATTAATGATTGTTTTCACGACTCGAACTGGATCATTTTTCTCTTAAAATAAGAGGACGAACGTTTATAGCATTTGTCAATCATTGTTCCAATTGGAACTTGCTTATCGGAAGGATATCAGTAACTTTTTATTGGAATTCCAGGAAAACCCGCAGCTGCTACAGCCTCTGCCTCTCGGGTGAGCACTCTATGTACACTCGATAAATCCCTCATTGTGTAATAGCCTACATACAAGGGAATGTAAACCGTGCACACTGGATAAATCCCCCATTGTGTAATAGCCTGCAAATTAGGGAATGTAAATCGCATTAGGCAAGCCCTGTACGACAGGCTTGACGTAGAAGGCATTGAGGGGGTATCGATCCTAGGGTCATCTGTATGGATGACCGCCCTCCAAACCAACTGGGCGGTCCCAAAAGGGACTAATATATCAGTAATTTTTGCTAATGGGAGAAACTCCCTAGTTGAAAGTTCGAAATACAACAAGTGTGTCACTATCCCAAAAGTAGTAACGTGCCACAGCCATCGCCTATGAAAATTCTAAAAGAATTTACAAACACAAACAAGGAATGCACGAGAGGAAAGATCAGGTCACCTTCACACAAAGCTAGAGGGTAACATCCATATTTCTGTCTTATGAAGACACACTTCTACCTCAATTGATAAGTCCAAAAGTACCATACCAATGGCGTCTGAAATTGGCAGCCGGGGCAACTAAACTTGAACTGAAATACTAGAGTATGCAAAAAGATCCAAGATGTGAAAATGAAAAACTGACATTTACAGTGGAAAACCTGGTGATTAGTTCACAAGCATGTGAATATCAAACCCAATGACTTGTTCATCGTTAAGCAAATGGACCTCGAGCTTAAGTCAACTCCAAAAAGCTAGCTCATGAGGTAGAATTTGCCCAAAACCCATGCGAGAATACAAAAACTCAGTCCCTCAATCAATGTGACACAATCTAACAGTTCATTATGTTGTCTAACAGTCCCTCCATTGTTAAGACCTCTCCTGTTCAGAAGTTAAAATTTGCGGAAATGAGGATGCTGAGATGGATGTATGGTCATACTAGGAGGGATAGGATTAGGAATAAAGATATCCGAGATAAGGTGGGAGTGGTCTATGTGGTGGACAAGATGCGGGAAGCGAGGCTGAGATGGTTCGGGCACGTGAAGAGGAACGGCACAAATGCCTAATGAGGAGGTGTGAGAGGTTGGCTATGGCGGGTCCAAGGAGAGGTAGAGGAAGGCCGAAGAATTATTGAGAGGTCATCTGACAGAACATAGCACATTTTCAGCTTACCGAGGACATGACCCTTGATTTCTAGCACAATATAATGTAGCACAATATATGACATCAAATGAGTCCCTCATTACCCCTTGAAGACCACCCAGCCCCAGAACAGAAAGAGCAGAAGACAATTAAGTATAGGGCTAGCTATACTATGACACTTTTTTTCTAAACGGGTTCAAGTCACAATCTTGATTTGGATCTAGTATAACAACTAGACATCGATCACTACTCTGTGTGCTTTCTTTTAAGATTCTGCTCTCCATTTCACATGAAAAGACAAACTACTGATAACAACCATCACAGGACTAGTATGTCTTCAGGCATATTATCAAACAAAAATTGGCGAACTACTTAAAAGAAACAAAGAATACCTTTAGCAGCCAGCTCAAAATAAAATTTCCTAAGCCCCGGATAGAAATCACAGCATCCTAAACAAGTACAAGGATCCGGAAATGTCCTTTCAAGAATTGGCAACTAGTGCAGACTGTGTATCTGGCAGCCCTCACACTGTTCCACCAAATAATTCTATTCCTTAAAAACAAAATTCCAAAACTAGTGCCAGCACCTAACTTGATGGTGACAACCAAATTTAGACAATGATCGATAACTGTCAAGTCTTCTAAACACATGAATGGGCCTAAAGACTACAACTTTTCTTACTACCTATCATTGAGAAAGAAAAATAGCAAACAAAACAAAAGAGCCTGATGCTACAATCTATAAAGGAAGCAAATACAGATCAAGGCACAGAAAGGATACAATAGTAATGAGACCTCAAATTTCACTAAGACACATACAATATTATTCATTTTTCATAGAAAATCAGTCTTAACAAGCACACAGTAATACGCAATTGTTGATGAGTTTAAAAATATTTATCATACAGAACACTTTTCTTTTATTCTAGGTACAGCTAAGTTCCCAAAATACAGACTGTCTAAAGCAATGGACATGAAAAATCTAAACTACTCTGCGGAGACAACGGAGAAGGTACAACTACCAAAAACCAAGGATGTACAAATAAACATCAAGGCATCCTAACAAGTAAATGAAGGTATCCTGCTAGTCGATTCGACTGGAAAATTGGAATGTAATCAACTCCACAACAACATTAAATTTTTTGTCACAACCTGTTTGACAGCTTATATTTCATCATTCTTGAAGTTGAATATTAATACTATATCAGGGCGAATAAAACTGAGCTTTAGAGGGAAAGAGATGTTTTTCTTTATAGCAGTTCTGATAACTGGAATAAACCAGAGCTCAATTTAAAGTATGAAGTATTGCTATTAATGACACATAAAAATACCATAAGAGAGTCAATAGATCAAACATGCTTTAATAGTAGCACGCTAGCAGCAGCGGGATGTACAATGATCACCTACAAATAGAATACCTAAAACAATGTGGCAAATCAATGAAGAGGCATCATCTACGCATTCAACAGGAATCAAGACAGGCATCAAGAAAAATAGGAGCACCACCAACTTTAAGGATTTCACCATGCACTCTTCTTCTTCGAACCATAGTAGTTAACATACCACTTCACAAACTTCTTCAACCCTATTTCCAAGTCAGTAGTAGGCTTATACCCCAGCTCCTTTTGCGCCAAAGTAATATTAGCATGCGTAAATGGCACATCCCCATTCCTTGGCATTTGCAAAACCTTCTTTTTTGCCTTCACCTTCAACAACTTTTCCAAAATACTCACAAGTCTACCAACAGGCACCGGCTTCGTGTTACCCACATTATAAATCCTCAATTGGGCAGCACCCTTCTTCTTCCCACCACTCCCCGTGCTCTTTTTCGCTGTATCTAATGCTGCCAAACAACCCTTTACCACATCATCAATGTAAGTAAAATCCCTGGCAACACTACCATGATCAGATGTCTCAAAAATCTTGATTTCCTTGCCTCTCAAAATATCTTTAGTAAAGAAAAAATATGCCATATCGGGCCTTCCCCACGGCCCATAAACCGTGAAAAAACGCAATCCAGTTATCGAAAGCCCGTGTATATGGTTATATGTATGAGCAATTTCTTCACCAGCCTTTTTANTAGTGGCTGCATACAAACTAGCAGGCTGATCAGTTCTATCTTTTTCTGAAAAGGGTACTTTAGAATTCAATCCATAAACAGAACTTGATGAAGCCCAAACAATACTAGGCTGTGGATTGGCCATTTTACATGCTTCAAGTAAACTAACAAAACCAGCTATATTACTATGAACATAAGAACCTGGATTCTGCATTGCATATCTAACTCCGGCTTGAGCCGCCATATGCATGACATGTGTAAA